GTGCCTGCTCAAAAATGTCTTACTCACGGGTCAGCCACCAGATATGGCCGCGATGTTCACACATGCTGAGCACACTCATGAAACTGCGACAGGCTGACCAGCTGAGGCGCCCCCGAGCGGTGAGCAACTCTGGCACTCGCCGATTTAGCTGCAGAGCATCGGATTTGTTTAACTGCCTGCCGCCCGACTTGCGCAATGTTCAGAGTCTAGGCCGGTTCAAGCGCCAACTTATGGAGTTTCTACTGAGTAAGGCGAATGTTGGCACATGCGTGGGTGCGCGTGTGAGTTCGACTGTGTGTGATGCCGATGCCGATTCGATTGATTTGAATGCAATAGTGTGATTCACCGAGATGATCCCTTGACCGATGTGTGATGTGTTAGGTCATTTTTACTAGGCTTCACATTCTCTTTTATGCCCGTTTTTATCAACAATGACGTGTAACTTTTAAAAGGCCACTGGATCTTGTGAAAAGTTACGAAATATGTGAACTGAAATGAACTGAATGGTCATGGGGCACGCGAATGTGATCAGGCGAGGTGGCAGCCAAGGCGGGGCTGGTGGCACTTCCGTCGTCTATTCCCAGGACATCATCAACGTCAGAGGCCGGGTTCGTGTCCGTGTCAGTGCCGTCTATCCTGCACCTGCTTTGCTTCCCCATACTATGGGAGTCAGAAGTGAGCGAATAGGGAACCCTTATATTATATTTGGACCGGCATGATGGTCTGTTGGATATCCAAGTTCATCGCCACAGCATTAAAACAAGGTGTCGCTGGCTGCAGATGGAAACATGCACGCACGCACGCACGCACACACGCACGCTCATACACACACGCACGCACGCATGTACGCACGCACGCACGCGCGCACGCACGCACGCTTCCGCACGCATACACGGCTCGGTCCATTCCGTGGTCAGCGTGGACGACGAAGTGGACGGTGGCGCTTCAGTGCACGGCCAAACCTGGCACTAGGAAGCCGTGTCGGGTCATGGGGAAGGGAACTAGAGCACTTCCTTCCCATCTCAGTCGTGATCTAGGGAGGAATACATCTCCATCCTGCCGCGTATGTCGATCTCGGGTTTTAGATAATACCCAGAGCTCACGGGCCAGCGGTTCTGGTTCACCAGAATGCAGCATCTTGTGTAGAACCGTCAACGTATGACACTCTCCCCTACAGAGGGCCTATTATTGACTGCGGAGGGGCAATTCTAACCTTGTGGGACGCATTCCGACCCGAAGAAAACCCATTATTGACTTAAACGGCCCATTACAGCTTTCAGGAGTCCACATCTAATCTTGGGGCCCATTTTAGGATTTTGGAGGTGCCAACCCCTCCCCCTCTCCGATTTGAACATAAATCCCGCGCCACTGGAAGGGCGGAGCTCAGTGAGTACGCATCACGCCCATTTTTTGCGTTCTGTCGAGAGCCATCTGTGGTGAAAATTGGAACAATCCAAGCCAAGGGGAAGGAGGGGCCAGGCCCCCAACCACCCTACCTTAAGCTGCGCCCCTGGATGAGACAGATTAGGCATTTCTGGCAATTTGAACAAGTCATATTATGCCGTTACGAACACTACTTTCTAAGCTTTAGGTAAGCCAAGTTACTCTCTAAAATTTAGGTAAGCTGCTATCGCTTAGCCCTGGCACATGCCTGACGGGTATAACAGCTGAATAAGTGACCAATGCGTCACACGACTGCTGGCGAGCATATGGCACATGCTTGCTCGCAACTGCGACGCGTGGCGTTATGTGGATGGACGGGACAATTGCTCTGACTGTCGGCATCGTCTAGTGTGATAATGTCTACACAAAAATGTACTGTAAAGCTTATAACATATAAGACCAAGACGATTGCCCGAGGCTGAACAATGGCTCCATCCGTGATACTAACACTCTGTCCCATCATTTCTTAAAGCTAAAACCAAGCCTCGGCGTTCTGACGCTATTATGCGCACGTTTCGTCTCGAACAGGGATGCAGGCAGTCGCTGGCCAGGTAAGCCTATGCAGGCTCCATTTCTCACGTGCATGCATTTGCATGTATGCACCTCAAGGTTAGGAGATCGTTGGATTGCCTATTCTCAGTTTGTCTTTACACCAGTGTTCTCATCGCAAACGGCAAAGTTTTTAGCAACGTCAATGTTTTAAATCGGTAAAATTTGAGAAGTTCTAGCCTTTTGGCTGATAACAGCAGGCAACGAATAGGGTAGTTCACATGCTTAGACCTGGTGAGCCACTGACTGTGAGCGGGACACCAGTCCCATCACGAGCGATAAAGCCTCTTCCGAATCCGGGTCAGCCTAGACGTTACGGCAGCTTCACGGCAGCGTCTCCGTTCGCATCCGGTCGCTCATAAAGCGTAATCTTAACCCCTTAGGGGGTTTTTATAAGGGCATCACACCAGGAGGAAGAGCTTAGAGAGGTCCGGGGGGGGAGGGAGAGATCGTAGATCTTGCATGCAGCTGGTGGTGCGTATGATGATGTGTTCGAGGGTGCGTTGGCGGGTGAGTTTCTAGTTGCTTTTCCATGTATTGCTTGAAGAGTAGCATGGGGCCGTCATCGAGGACCGTTGGCATTGATTTGCGTTGTTGCCGATTCTGAGGGGGCCGTGGCTTTCAATTTTGTCTTCGACGGGGTTTCACGTGTGTTGTGGGTGTAGCAAGAGTCACAAGTAAACCGTGTCCAAACGTTGTTTTTGAGAGCTTTTGCCGTGAGCCTGGTGTAGCCGGTTCTAAGTCTATTGAGCAAGACCCCTTGTGGTGGCAATTCTGATGGCTAGATGACCATTTGGCGAGCGTTGGATTGGTGGAGTACATGTGGTCGGAAGTGGTGCTGTGTCAAGAGCGTTTGCTGGTAGGTTTCAGGTGGTGGTGTTAGCTTTACAATCATCCAGAAACGGTTCCATGTCGAAGCAGGCCTCAACTTCAAGAGCCTCTTTGGCTAGGATATCGGCCTTTTCGTTGCCGCCTATGTCGGCGTGCCTCGTTATCCAAAGGAATTGAATGTGTTGTATGTAAAGAGACACCGCTTTCTGGATGGCATAAACGATGTAGTGAGTTTGATCAGCTGGGCTACTTATGGACTGCAAGACTCACTAGTGTCGGCGCAAATGATAACATCCGTGCGTTTTTGTCGCAAGACAAGCTAAACTGTAGTTAAAATAGCCATGCTTTGGCCGTGAAAACGGATGTTTTGTCTGGGAGGTGATTGTTAGGTATAAGGCCTGCCTCGTGGAGTGCCATTCCTATCGTGTGCTGCGTTCTGACCCGTCCTTGAAAATAAACAATTTGTGTGCGTGCAGAGCATGCCACTCGTCAAACATGGCTTGAATTCTGTGGGCGTGACGTTGCTTTTCTTTTTAGATAAAAAAGTGCTCTGCTTTGGAGTATCATGCTTCCAGAAAGACTTACGTTCTGGAGCTGGAGCTGTGATGGATGGAAACACATCTAGACCTTTCAGGACTTTCAGTGCAGGCATGAGTGCCAAGTGTGACAGGCATTCTGTGAAGAACCAGGGGTGCCAAGTGTGTTTGGCTGGGCCGTGGCGTCAGACGTGATGGCACTGAAAGCGGTCTATCTTTCATGTCCAATGTGGCCTATCAATTTCATTATTTACCAACCGGAGTGAAAAAGTAATGAGCGAATCGAGCACATCTCAAGTCTGCATGCGACCATCACGAAAAAAATGTTTTCATATGGAAATGTTCATTAAAAAACATTATCCGTGCTTAAGAGCTATGAATACTGAGGGGGGAACTGCCCAATCACTTATCATGATTCTGTTTTGTCCATTATCAGTTAGCCTTCCGTCCGACGCTGAACGCTGCGTGCACCGACAGACGTCCGCTCGCAGCTACCAGGTGTTTGCGGCAAACGTGCAGACCGGACAAGGGGCATCCAGCACCTATCCTGCATGTGGCCAGGTTGCCAAACAATATTATTTTTCCGAAGATCAGATCCACAAACGGAATATATATGTTTTTCAGGTACAGGCACATCGAGGCACGACCGCACCCAGTTGGCCCTTTGGTTGCATCCCTGCGCTAGATCCCTCTCCGTCTGGAGAAAGGCAGTGGCACGGACAGGCGTCAGACACAGCCGAGTGGCGGTCCTCTGCTTCGAAGGGCCAACAGTCAAAACTACTTATAACACCACGCTACTTGTTTGCAGGGTCTAAACGTGGCGCAACCTATGGCTCGTTGGCCGTTTATTCTCACTGGGGATAAATGATGTTTTTTACGCTAAATATTCAAAACTCTGGCACACATCTCCGTTTCGCATGGCATTTGTAACACACAGGCGCGGCCTGTGACATGAATGGCACGCATGCGCTAACAAGGACTGAACCAGGACAAATTTTGGGACGGACAAATTTTGGGACGGGCACATCTGCATTTGAGCGCGCAGTTGATATTTAGTTATCTCGTCTCAGTTCAACCAACGTGTGTGTTTACATAGACCGAAATTAGAATATGAAATGACAACTGCCAAGTTGGTTGGATAGAGAATGATTGACACGATAGTAGTGTTGACAGAAAAAGCTGCTTGCTTTTCTTCGCAGTGCCGTTCAAATGCTGAGCAGTGATAAAACACATTTGATACATATATGCATATATACATAGAGATGCATATACATATATACATACATATGCATATATACATATATAGATGTATATACATATACATATATATATATATATATATATATATATATATCCACGTTTGTTTACCGAGTTGAAACACCAGAACAGCGCCGCGTGGCCTGTATGTCCGATTACAGCGTTCGGTGAGGTCCGGACCGAGCGACAATGGCTGGCTCCCAGGCGTATCTGTTGGAAAGTTGCACATCAACTTGGCTGTTCTGCCTTGAGACGGGTTTTTCTCATCCACCTCTTGCAGCAGGCGCGTCTTAGAGAAGTACAAGCGTTAGGTCGTCGCCGCCTGGCTTTCCCGAGACCCTTGTAAGATGTTGAGCATGTGGTCGCTCTCGTGCAATGCTTGACTTCATCTTTCCTTTTTTATTACAAATCAGATAAAGGATGTCTTTGTTACATAGTACTGCCCATGCTCTTTTCCATGCGGTGAGTTCACTATAGGTACATCATGCATTGCACAAGCATCTGTTATCGCTTCTCACAGAAATTTGGTCTTAGTCGGCCTTGGTCTTAGCCGGCCCACCAGCAACGCAGCCAGTGCACTGGGAACTTAGCATGCGCTCGTACACCCAGCAGCCGGTTCTCTCGCGTGTTCAGTGAAGTCTTCCAGCCGCCTTATCCCATCATTGGTCCGCCTCGTCCCAACGTTGCCCCAGTGTCGCCCCATTTCTCCCCATCCCGCCCTGTTGTTTCCCCATCTCTCCCCATCATCGCACTGACTCGCCTTAGTGTCGCTACAGCGTCGCCCCATCTCGCCCCAGCGTCGTTCTGCCTGGCACCAGTGCCGCCCCATATTGCCCCAGTGTCGCCCCATATTGCCGCAGCGTCGCCTTAGCATCGCCCCATTTCGCCCCCGCGTCGCCCCGTCTCGCCACAGCGTCGCTCCACCTCCTGCTAGCGCCGCTCCGCCTCTCGCTGGCGCCTCTGCTGCTCGCGGGTGGCCGTGACTGCCTCGATCTTGGCTCGCAGCATGGCCTCCCAGTCGCGGCCGCGCGCCATGGCCTCGGAGCGCGTGGGCAGCGAGGTGAGCTGGCGGATCCGCTGGCAGGGTGTGAAGGCGACGCCGGCGCCCTGTAGTGCCTCCGGGAACTTATCCGGCCCGGCCGTGGCCACACAGACGCGCCGCATGGCGCTCCCCCTGGCGGCCAGCACGACACCAACGGTCAGGTGGCGCTTGCGCGCAGTGGTCTGCGCACGTTTTGCGGTAGCATTGGTGGCGTGTAATCGGCAGGCGCTGTTTAACACGCGCTCGGGTGAGGGTTCAATACCCCTAAAGTTTTTTTTACAGAATGAGTTCCGAACGGCGCGGTGCAGCCATGCAAAAATTTCCCATAGCAATAGGCAACTAATAGCGGATCTTTTGACCCACACAGATTGCATGTACCTTGTCAGGTCGCTGATCTACGGCAGGTCAAAAGAAGGCTGTGTCTGTCACCGAAGGCAATTTCTTGGGAATGGTGCAATCCGACGCGACAACTGAGTGTTAGAAGAAGCCACACATTTCTGAGACCGTTTCTTTGACCAGAAGACAATCGCATTCAAGATTACAACAAATTCCATTGGCATGGGGTCAGGTATGGAGGTCAACAAACCCAGGTCAAAACCAACGTGATTTTTCATTTGAGAGCCCGCTGCACGTGGTGTTTTTTTTGGTGCTTATTTCGAATTTATTAAAACGGGGCCGCATTATACATATTCCATGGACTTATTAAGGGTCAGGGTAGGTCACTGATTTATAATAACCCAGGTCAATTTTCTGAGGAGCATTCGCCTTGGGCAATCCTTGACGCTTATTCCACAGCAAAAATTAAAGTAATCTCGTCGGACGTTGGTCACCATAACCTTCTTAAGGTCACACCAGGCCACTGGATTTGAATAAACGTCAGTGACCTTTGGGTTAGGACAAGTACTTAGGTTTATATCGCTTACATGAGGAGGGCTTGGAGTGCTTTGGACACCAGTCTAGAGTTTGTCTTGCTTGACGTTTTTGATTCGAATGTCATCATCTAAGAACGCCAAATGTTGGCAAACGTAAATTCACACAGAGGCAAACACACCCTTTGAATTCGGTCTCTAAATGTCCTAGTATTTGAAATTTCAGGGGTAAAATTGACCCCATCCGAGTGAAGGGTATTCAATCGCTCACTTGGACGCATATTAAGGCTTTTAGAAGTGCTACTGGGCTCCCATTTATTAAAGGTTGGGCGGACACAAAAAAACGTCGTTTTTCGTATGGTACAACATATGTTAGTTTTCCATTTATCCGGGGAGTGTTCTACACGCAAAAGAAGTGAAGAGAGCATGTGCCTGGTCATGAGCATGGTACAAAATGCGTGCTCGGGAAGAGTATGGTCGTTTCGAAATTCTTAACTCACATGGTATAACATACTAGCCATGAACAAATCGTGTACACAGAAACTGCTGCAATATTTTCCGGGGATGTAAAACAAACAGGACACGTAACGTTCACATTGGCTGCTCTGACCGAGACACCAATTAAATACGAGATCCATGACACTGCTACTAGAAAGACAAACATACTTTTCCGCTTTTGCCCACGACGTGATGACATTAGTGACGTTCGGCTCGGCTTACGTGATGGCAATAGCGGCGTTAGGTTCGGCGTACGTGGTGACAATAGCGACGTTCAGGCTCGGCTTACGTATGTTTGTAGTGGTAATCGGCTGCGGTTGCAGTGTGTGGACACAACGCGTATTGTTTTCACGCCAGCATCTAGAGATGGTGTTGTTAATTTCTTCATCAGATGCCACGTGCGTATCTGCAACATTGGCGTGGGTGGGTTGGCGTGCGCTAATAACACCATAGGCTAACGAGCACAGAATACTGTAAGCCCGAAATAACGACAAACCTGGCGATGCATCAAACAACGTGGTTTCGGTAACCATACGGGTACAATCAGCATTGAACATGATGGCAGTCGCACATGAAGTATCACGAGGCCCTAGTCGATAA